TGTGTGTGTGTGTGTGTGTGTGTAGGGAGAAAGATTTACCTCAAAGAAATGGCTTGTATGGTTCTAGAAGCTGGCAAGTCCCAAATCCATGGGTCAGATGTCAGGCTGGAGGCTTTTTTTCTGACTCAAATGGCAGGAGGGGCTTATGAACCCAAGAGTCAAAGGTAGGAGAGTTGGCTTCTGGCTCACATGCTGCAGAGGCTAACTTATCCCAAGATCAGCACCCAGTAAGGTCGGTAGGCCATCGGCTCAATTCCAAAGAACCAGAGATCAGATGATGCCAAATGCATGATCCAGATCAAGCAAAATTGCAGGGAGCTTTCCCAGAATGTCCATATATATTGGATGCAGTCTATGCTCTTGGGGAAACTCCCTTTCTATTGATTGGCTGTTTATAGCAGATCTCATCATCGAGGATGATTACATCATTACATAACTGACAAATTGCATCATAACTGACAAACAACTGAGAATCATGGCCCAACCAACTCGACACACAACCTTAACCATCACAACTACCATCTTCATTTAGTAGGAGACACTAGCCTAGGGGATCACGAGCTTTACCTGTATCACACTTAGAAAGTACATATATGATTAGATTGCAACAACAATAAAGTTGTATGGTATATGAATTAGGATCTATTGTGTTTATAATATCTCTAAGCTCTTTTATTTACCTCATTCACTGGAGATTGACCAGGTTCCTGGTGTAGTAGAGGTTGAGGAGTGACGGAAAGAGAGTAGTCTCTCCTTTATAATAATAAAACGAAAAAAACCCCAAACTCACTACCATTGAGTCGATTCAACCCTCCTTGGGTTTCCAAGGTGATATCTCTATAGAAGTAGATTGCCCAATCTTCCTCCTAAGGAGTGGCTGGTGGGTTTGAACCACCAGCCTTCTGGTTAGCAATTAAATGCCTTAGGCACTACCTGCCACCAGAGCTGTATAAATAGGGGCTCTATAAATATCTGTTAACCTGAACTGAATTGAACTTAAGATAAACCAAATAAAAATCTGAGTAAACTCTGATTTAAATGAGTGAAATCAGAAGTCATAAATCCACACTTTTACTTTATCACCTCTCCTTCACCCACCCAATCATACAGATAAAAATGGTAATGTTCTTTGGCAGAAGTGCCTTGTCAGACACAAAAAAACAAACCCAAACTCACTGCCTTCAAGTCGAATTCGACTTATGGTGACCCATCCATGGGTTTCAGAGGCAGTTATCTCTATGGAAGTAGATTGCCCAGTCTTCCTTCCAAGGAGTGGCTGGTGGGTTTGAACTGCCAGCCCTCTGGTTAGCAGTCAAATGCTTAGGCACTATGCCACCAGATCTCCCTGTCAGACACAAGAGCCCTAAAAAAAACTGAAAAGGAAAGAGGGCAAGGAGTGAAAATATCAATATCAAGGTCTTGATACGTGCAAAGCTCAGAATTTGTAAAGAAGACATAGCAGACTCCTCAGAATCACAAACTTGAGAAAACATTACACTGTTGCCCAGATAACATGACATTTACTCATTTGTGCACATAACAAAACCAAAAACCAAACCAATTGCCATAAAACTGATTCCAACTCATGGCGACCCTATGTGTGTCAGAGTAAAACTATGCTCCATAGGTTATTCAACGTCTAATTTTTCAGAAGCAGATTGTCAAGCCTTTTTTCCAAGACATCTCTAGGTAGATGAAAACCTCCAATCTTTCAGTTAGCAGTCAAGCACATTAACCATTTGTACCATCCAGTAATTCCTGTGCATGCAAAGATTGGGCTAAATTGTAATTTCACAGCCATCATGGAAATGGATAACTAGCAATTAGTACACTAGTACTTTTCATAGATGGGTCTTAGAAATTCATAAACTTTCTTATTCTATGCTACAGCAAGGTCTCTGGTCTTCTAAGCAAAAAAAAAAACTGTGACAAAACCAAAGTTAATTTTATCCATAGGTAAGATGAGTGGAATCATATAACTTCAAGATGAGAAATTATTTTTATATACTCAACATTCAGTTAGTACACTTTATTAATGTACAGAGACCTAGAATAAACATTAAAAAAAATTACGGCCTGTGTAACAAAATACAGGTAGTCCCTGGGTTATGAATGTCCAACTTATGGACAAATTTAATTAATTAAATTAATTTCACTTAATGTTGCCCTTTAATGTTATGTAAGTTTTCCCTCACTTTGATATGACTGGACCAACCCCTACTCACAACAAATTGTTCATCACAATCACTTTCACTTGCTACACATGCAGCTTTAAGTCATTGAAAAAGCTTTGAGCCTTTTCTTGCACTAAAATAAGGTTAAATAAGAACTGTATGCACCTATTCCAACTTATGTATAAATTATTGAAGACACAGTTAAGAATATATCTCGTTCATACCCTGGTGACTGCCTGTATAAAAGTCAACTCTGCTTAATTCCCCACCTGCAACCCATACTTCACCCAAACTTCCAGTAGTAGGTTACCTGTGCCACCTACCTGAAGAAGGGATGAAAAGGAGAAGAAATTGGACTTCTGAAAAATTACTGAAGAGAGGGTGGATCTAAAGAGCTGAAGGTTCAAGTTCCTACTTTCAAAACTTAATTGTCTTTGATATTTTTGCATTTATTTTATTTTCCTTTTGTTTTCCAAGATTTTTTTCAGTTGAGTTCTCTTGGAGAGTTCTAGTCTGTTTTTACTTGCTAAGAATAAACTAGAGGAGAGTGTTTATTTTGTTGGCACTGAGACCACAGACAAAGGAAAACTTTCCAGTCTCTAGGGATCTTGCAAATAGTGATGAACCTTGCCACAGGGCAATTAAAATTTAGAGGAAAAGTGTCCAAGCTGCTACTCTTTCAACAAAATCTTTCTCTGCTCATTCCTTGGAGTTTTAAATACTTTGTTATACTCTCTGATATCGTTTAATTGAAGGTACATATGATAAAGGCAACAAAACAGTTAATATTTGAAGATACATAATACATGCCAAATTAGTGATATAAATAATAAATGCATATTGAGTTTATAAGGAGATGAGTCCAACATCCTTTACACCATACTTCTTTCAAGAAAAACTGTTCTTAAGCAATCTCAGACAGATATGCATGATATTTTTAATGTTCTAACGCTTTCCCTAGCAAACTAGATCCTTGGATGTGAACTTCCAAGTTATTTCCCCTTTGACCTTCACAATAAACTGTTTAGAAGAGAAAATCAGGGAAATATAATTTCATAGAAAGAGGAGAGTTTAAAATACTGTGTTCATCTTTTGGAACAGAAGTTACATTCACACAGCAGCAATTATCTATGGCCAGTCTTGGTCTGTATTTCAAGTTTTCCCCCTGGGGATATAAAAATGGATGGAGAGGGGAAAAAAGGAGGCATGGAATCCACTGACTAACTCTAAATCTATCCGAAAAGCATTGCTCTACCCTGGATTCGTGCTTAAGGCTATTAAGCTCCCATGACCTTTCTGGATTGTGCTCCTAAACTTTTTAATTTCCTTTTTAATCTTATTTCAGCTTGGACTCATACCAGAGGAATCACTGACCACTAACCAGGGACAATTGTGAAGGGGATTACAGTGCCAGCAAGAGGTATGGCTCCATTTTCAAAATGAATCCTGCCTTTTCAACTTGGTAATTATCTTAACAAAGTAACTTCCTTCATCATCTGCACTAAAACAAAATTAGCTCCATTTATGTTTATATTTGCTTATGTTAACGACTTAATGTCCCTTTTGTTTTGGGTTAAAATGTCTCTTACCATTTTGTATTATAACCCATCCACTTTTCTATGCCATCACTCCTTTCCCCCATCATAATATGAGCTGTTTGAATGTAAGGATGAGTTTTCTCCATAGTGTGAGTCACATTGTGGGATGATCTCATTACATTCTAGAAAAATTGAATTAAATGCTCTTAAGACAAATAAAGTCAATGAGCAGCTTGGACAGAATGATCTCTACTCCTCTAGGATTCCTTATTTGTTTGAAAATTTTACAGCCTTCTTTTTCTGGTCTAATATAAATCATTGACTTGACTTACATGCATTATTGTGAATGAACTATGGAACCTAAATATCCAAATTTCTAGAAAAGCTTATTTTGGTCAGTAAGGTTTGGGAAGTGCTTTAATAGGACTAAAGATCATCTGTATTTTTGTATGTTTTACAAAATTATTTCTCACTTTTATTTGGCATCTTTCATTCAAAGATCTGAGAATTTCAAAATTATTTATATTTAACAGACTTTGAATAAAATGAACAAATGATTAGTCTATGTCAGTAGCAGAAGTGCATTTTAACCTTATAGTCAGCCTTATGATTTAGTACCTTCCTTAATACTTTAGGAAGCAACTTTATTTACAGAATAACTAGTCTCTGAGGATGGAAGGTAACGGCACATAACAACAACAACAACAACATAACTGTAAAAACTTAAAAGACTTTAAAATGACAAACTTATTACATCATTCATATCGTTCACTAAAATAACACTTATTGAACATTTATGGGCAAGGTACATACGTACTAGGCCCTGTGTGGTATGGATTTTTACATATAAACAAGATAGTCTGATAGGAAAGATAACATATGTACCCAGATCATTGATCTACAAGATAGATCTAAAGTGCCTTCGGAAGGAACATTGGGCAATCTACTTTCGTAGTGATACTGTCTCGGAAACCCAAGGAGGGGTCGCTATGAGTCTGATCTGACTCAACGGCAGTGAGTTTGATTTTTTTTTTTGTTTTGTTTTAGAAGTGCAAGGAGCTCTAGTGCCTAAGGCACACCAGCCACTCCTCGGAAGGAAGATTGTGCAATCCACTTCCATAGAGATACTGCCTTGGAAACCCAAGGAGGGGTAGCATTTGACTTGATGACAGTGAGGTTTTTTTTGGCTCTTTTGAGAAGTGCAAATGTTAAGTGCTTGGCTGCTAACCAAAAGATTGGTCATTTGAATCCACCCAGCAACTCCGTAGGAGCTCTGGTAGCATAGTGCCTAAGGCACTTGACTGCTAACCAGAAGGCTGTTGGTTCAAACCCACCAGCCACTCGTCGGAAGGAAGGTTGGGCAATCTACTTCTGTAATAATACCACCTTGGAAACCCAAGGAGGGGTCACTATGAGTCAGGTCTGACTTGAGGGCACATAACAACACAACAACAACAGCAACTCCATGGGAGAAAGACCTGGAGATTTGCTTCACTAAAGATTGCAGCCAAGAAAACACTACGGGCAGTTCTGTTTTGTCACATGGGATCACACCCAACAACAACAATAGAAGTTCAACAAAGATAGAAATTACTTTGGAGGAGGCTGAGGGAAGGCTTGGTGAAGAAGGTGTAATTTGGCCTAAGGGATCCTTAGATTTTGCATATGCATAGATGGAAAAAGGACTTTCCAGAAGAAGAAATACTATGGAAAAAGAAAGGAAGGTGGGAAAACATGCAGGATATGTCCCTGGATTACCAAAATAGTTGTTTGGTTAAACTATAGGGTGTGCAAAGTGGAGAAGTAAGAGTAAAGCTGGACAAGGTAAGATGCACTCAGATTGTAGCCTCAAATATCAGGCTAAGAAGTCTGTATGAAGGCAATAGGAATACATTGAAGGTTTTAGAGCAAGGGTATGACAGAATAGACAGCTACAATGTATGAAAAATTATTCTGGAAAGAGTTTGTAACAGGATGTTGTATTCATAGGTGATGATTGCAGGAAGGAACTATAAACCTACTGCCAATGAGTCAATTCCTATAGGGTATGGGGAATGGTAAGAATAATCAAATATTTTTCTAGTGTTCCTCAAACAAAGCCTGTGTTTGATATCTCAACAGTGCCATCTAGTGCCTCAAGCAGACTATTGCCCAATTTGGAGAAAATAGCTAATAAAGTATTTAACAAAAAAGAATGGATTAACTGTAGACGTTTTTCCTCTTCATCACAATTGCCCTTGAGTTCAGAGAGCCAATAACGGAAGAAGCAGATAACTTGGAAATAAACTGAGAAATAATGCAGAGGTTGGGAATAATGTTTCCTATTGTGTTTTAAAAGTATACATAATGACACTATGAAATGGAATATTAGGAATTCCTATAATTTATGGTCTTGTGAAAATTAACGAGTTTTTTTTTTAATTATAGACACAGAACCAAGAAGACATTCTTAAGGAAACATGGATGATGTCATAAATATGACAGTGCCTTCTGCTAGAAATAACACATGCCATGACACTATTGATGACTTCCGCAATCAAGTATATTCCACCCTGTATTCTATGATCTCCGTTGTGGGATTCTTTGGCAATGGCTTTGTGCTCTATGTTCTCATAAAAACATATCATGAGAAGTCAGCCTTTCAAGTGTACATGATTAATTTAGCAGTGGCAGATCTACTGTGTGTGTGCACACTGCCTCTCCGCGTGGTCTACTATGTCCATAAAGGCATTTGGCTCTTTGGTGACTTTTTGTGCCGCCTCAGCACTTATGCCTTGTATGTCAACCTCTATTGTAGCATCTTCTTTATGACAGCCATGAGCTTTTTCCGGTGCATTGCAATTGTATTCCCTGTCCAGAACATTAATTTGGTTACACAGAAAAAAGCCAGGTTTGTGTGTGTTGGCATTTGGATTTTTGTGATTTTTACCAGTTCTCCATTTTTAATGAATAACTCTTATAAAGATGAGAAGAACAATACCAAGTGCTTTGAGCCTCCACAAGACAATCAGACTAAAAGATATGTTTTGGTTTTACATTATGTGTCATTATTTTTTGGCTTCATCATTCCTTTTGTTATTATACTGGTCTGTTACTCAATGATCATTTTTACCTTACTGAAAAATTCAATGAAGAAAAATCTATCAAGTCGTAAAAAGGCTATAGGAATGATCATAGTTGTGACAGCTGCCTTTTTGATCAGCTTCATGCCATATCATATTCAACGCACCATCCATCTTCATTTTTTACACAGTGAAACTCAATCCTGTGATTCTGTGCTTAGAATGCAAAAGTCAGTGGTCATAACCTTGTCTCTGGCTGCATCAAATTGTTGTTTTGACCCTCTCCTATATTTCTTTTCAGGGGGAAACTTTAGGAGAAGGTTGTCTACATTTAGAAAACATTCTTTATCCAGCATGACTTATGCACCCAAGAAGAAGGCCTCCTTGCCAGAAAAATGTGAAGAAGTATGTAAAGAATAGTTAGCTAAGCCCATCTCCAGCATAAACCAATGAGAAGAATTCTCCCAAATGTTGTCTCAAATCATTTACAATGAAAATTAAAATTTTCACTAAAAATTATAAATATATAACCAAAGATGCATGCCTATAAATCTGTTTCATCTGTGCATCCATATTATATGAGGCATAAAGATATTGTAAATGTTAAAAATTCAGTTCACAACTATGAACTCAATTCTATATGGAAGAAATGCTGTTTTTTTTTTTTTCTTTTGGTTTGTTTGTTTGTTTTGTTTAACCATTTACTAGCAGGTGGAGAATGTTTCTGTCTCTACATTGTAAAAAATGGGTCTGAGATAAAGGTTTTCTCCCTAAAATAAAAGCTTTACAACAGATAAGAACTAGACTTTTAAAATCTAAAATTAGCAAATGATTCTCAATCATCCCAGTGTATCCCTTTGTATGCATGCTATCAGATGAGAACTGGAGAAGCCCTAGGAACTACACAATATGTACTGTCATTCTTTTCCTTTGGCCATTTCTTCCAGAAGAGAATGTACAAGTGTTAGACTACTATTCAGCCAAATGGCCTTAAAGGATCTGTGCAAAGTACAATCTGGAAATTGAGGAATAAAAAACTGGTTGAAAGCCAGTTTGTCAATTTTCTACTCCTCTCACCTCAAGCCCCCAATAGAGAATAGTGGAATTTTTTGTTGGTTATTGAGGTTCCCATAGGGGATTCTCTTCCTATAAAACATATAATCCTTTCTTAAGCCAGACAACAGCTATTCCCCTATATAAATAGGAGCAATTAAAAATTATCTGAAGAACAGGAGAATGAGTTTGCTTTTCTCATGCCTATTACTAGGATCAAAGAACTACAATGGATTTCTGAAGAAAAATTTCAACATACATGTTCCAAATTGCTTTAAGAAGTGCATTTATGTATATGTGTATAATTACATGTAAGAGATTTTGCTCTATGATATGCATTTATGTGTGAAAGTTCACTATAAGCTTCATTAATGCTTTATGCTTTTAACTTTTTGTTGGCATGTTGATACAAATATCAAAAATATATTTACGGTAGTTTTTATATTACAATGGGATCTTTGTTCTGGAAACAGCAATAACTTGGTTATGATTGAAATATAATATTCATGGGTAAGCTTTTGCTAAAGTGTGGTCTGTTCCTTAATTCTGTGTTTCAAAAGACATATTACCTCAAAGAAGGAAATGATAATGGTGAAGAAATAGGAAAGCTATGAAAGAAGTTCTATCTGAACTTGCCACATGTGTGTTATTTCTATTTCAATTATGATGTTTTAGTTCCTTGAAAAATATTCACAAGACTTAAACAGAAAGGACCTCTAACATATAGTTATAATTGGTGCATATTATTTTGTGTTTAAAAACTTGAGATTTGGAAGTACTTATATTTTGACTTTATACCATCTTTTTCCTTGCTTGAGACAAGGATTAACATATTTATCATAAAAATCTGTTCTCATTTACTAACCCTTCAGTTCCCCAAATCCACCACCATCAAGTGAATTCTAATTCATAGCGACCCTATAGAACAGATTAGAACTGCCCCCATAGAGTTTCCAAGGCTGTAATATTTATGGAAGCAGATTACCAAGTTTCTCCCACAGTGTGGCTGGTGGATTCGAATCTCTGACCTTTCAGTTAACAGTCAAACACTTAACCAGTGCACCATCAGGGCTTCTTAGTATGCAGCATCGTGTGGGTAGAAGACTACTATATTGGAAGGCAGAAGACCTGGATATTAATCTGACCACCAGTACTTACTAGTGGTGTAACCTTAAAAAAGTCACATAAACTCTCTGATCCTCAGCTTCCTCATTTATAAAATGGAAATACTAATAAATGTCTTTCATTTCTTGTAGGACATTTGTGAAGGTAAAATAAGATCATGTATGTTGAAGTTTTACCTTAAATTTATACCGTGTAATACAATTTTTAAATATTTAGGGATGGTTTTTTATTTAAATATACTGATTCATATTTACTACAGAAATTGTCAATTTTGAAAGAATTAGAAAACAAAAATGTGCTCATAGTTAAATTCTGTTGCACATGAAAGAATTTTGAAGCTTGCTCATTCCTACCTCCAGATTTTTTCCTATGTCTTAGTCTGGGTTCTATAGAGGAGCAAATCAGTGAAATGTGTGTGTGTGTATGTATATTGTTGTTGTTGTTGTTATGTGCCGTCGAGTCAGCCCTGACTCATAGCGACCCCTCATTGGATTGCTGAGGCAGTATCACTACAGAAGTAGATTACCCAACCTTCCTTCCAAGGAGTAGCTGGTGGGCTTGAACCGCCAGCCTTCTGGTTAGCAGTCAAGTGCCTTAGGCACTATGCTACCAGAGCTCCTGTGTATGTATATAGTATATGTATATATAGAGGGAGAGACAGACATATTTATTTCAAGGAAATAGCCCATGCAATTTGGTGGTTGGCAAGTCCCAAAGCCATGGGTCTGGAAGCAGGCTGGAGGCCTCTGCTGGCTCACAGAGTTGCAGGGGCTGGCAAATCCAAAATCTGCATGTCAGGTGGTGGACTGGAGACTTCTGCAGGTTAACATTCCAAGAAGCAGAGGTCAGGTGACAGGAAGAATGCAGGGTCAAGAAAAGAACTCTGCCAGAACATTCACTTATATACTAGTGGGAAGCTACATCCCAAAAAAACTCCCCTTCTAACTGATTGGCTGTTTGCATCAGATCACCAAATGAAGGTAATTACATTATATTACATTATAAAAGAACAACTAGTCCAATGATCTGCCAAACCACTGAGAATTATAGTAAAACCAAGTTGACTTATAGTATTAAGCATCACAGCCTATATTCTCCCTTTTCACTTATAGTTCCACTCCTTCTCACATACACATGTACATAAAACCTTCAGTCACCTGTAAATCACCATGAATTTTCCCCTTTTTAGTGTCTTATATATTTATAGCCTACACCACACTATTTAATACTTACTCTTTTTTTTTTCAGTGTTCCATATGCGTTAGTTTCCTCCAAGAGAGGATTATCACTATTTTGAGGTTGAAAATGACTTAAAATGGTAGCCCGTAACACTTAATGAGTATCATACATTGTTTTAAGAGCTTTGTCTGTATGAAATCTTTTAATGCTCATAACTGTGCTATGAAGTAAGTACCATTATTACCCCTCTTTGGCTGATTTAAAAACTAAGGTATGGTATGTTCTCACCTATAAACATGAACAAGTAAATACAGAAACAAATGTTCATTAGTGGTTACCAAGGATGGAGGAGGACAGAGAGAAGTATTTACTCTCCAGATAGTAGGTCCTTATTATTTTTGGTGATGGGAAAAGCAACACCAAATGAGGGTGAAGTGTACAGAGTTTGATGAAGGTAAACAATGCCATTAAAATGTACACAAGAAAAAAAGACATTTTTGTAATTTCTATGACATATATAATTTTGAAACAACAATAAAATCAACAAAAAATATATGTGCAGATATATATGTATGTATGTAGACATAAATATGTACAGGTACATATATGTGAGTATATATATACCCACTGCCATCAAGTCAATTCCAACTCATAGTAACGTGAAAGGACAGAGTAGAATTGCCTCATGGAGTTTCAAGACTATAATTTTTAAAAAATATATATATGGAAATGTTTAAAATATTTATTTGAATTCCCACTGTTTTCAGTTATCATTTTCTTGTATTCACACAATGTTTAAAGGGCTGTATATCTTTATGGAAGCAGATTGCCTCATCTTTCTCCCATGGAGCAGCTAGTGGGTTCCAATCACTGACCTTTTGGTTAGCTACCAAATGCCTTAAGCACTGCACCAGGAGAGCACCTTGTGTATATATATGTATGAATATGTATATATATATGCATATATGTGACTGTATATATTACATATATATTCATATATATAATAAAGCACATGGGGGCACAGTTATAGATACTTCTTAGACATAACCAAACATCTTGCAAGATTGATTTCCTGGGTTTGGAGAATTAAGACCATAGTCTAGTAGGACATCTTGGTCAGTTGGTATAATATAGTTCATAAAGTTTATATTCTTTGTCCCTGTTTGGTGAGCAGTGTCTAGGGTTTTAAAAACTTGCAAGTGGCCATCTAAGATACAACTTTTTGTCTCTACTCATTCAGAGCAAAAGACAAAGAAGGAAACCAAAGACTCCAAGAAGAAACTAGTCTACCTAATAGTAAGACAAATAGTCTACACAAACCACAGCCTCATCTATTCTAAGACCAGCAGAACTAGATGGTGCCTGGCTACCACTACTAACCATTCTGATTAGGGCTACAATAGATGGATCCTGATATAATGGGAGAAAAATGTGGAGCAGAGCTTAGATTCAAAAAGAAAGAAACAAACAGACTTACTGGACCTGTTGAGAGGATGACTCCCCAAGAATATTGCCTTGAGATATTCTTTACACGTTGAAGTCTTCTTTTACCTAAATAGCAGATATTGGCTCACAAAATAAAGAATATCCTCCATGAGTACTGTGCTCCTTTAAAAATTCACCTGTATAAGACCAGTCAACAAGTACTTTAAAATAAAGATGAGAATGTAAGGGAGCAGGGAAACTAGATTAATGAAAATGGAGCAAACAGAACAGAAATAATGGGAATGTTCATGCACTGTGAAGAATGTAACCAAAGACATTGAACAACTTGTGTAGAAATTGTTGAATGGGAAGTTAACTATTGTTTAAATCTATGCTGAAAACACAATAAAATATTATTAAAAGGGAATGAAAAGCTAAGTGTGTAATGAAAGAGAGTTTGGATAGCTGATGTTTGAAAGGACCGTGAGGATCAGAGGAATGATGTGAAGACGGTGGCATATTATTGCAACAGTATATTATGTGGTCATTAGGGATTACAAACATGAAGCTCCATCTAATGTCAATGTTCCAGAATACTATACAATATTTTAAATATGTTTTCCAACTAAAATCTCAGGCTTTAACTCATGGTTCATATGTTCAAGTAATTTTGTAAAAATTAAACATATAGCTTAATTAAACATGTATTTTTAAGTAAACAAATGAAACACTAAAA